TAGGCGAATTTATTATCCCGAAGCAGCAAACCCAATAGAGACAAGAAAAAAAAATTAACATTACCTACACAAGCATTTTGTATGTTTCTAATAGTCCATATAAAAGCGGTCGTTATAACCAACTATACTGTCTTAAAGGTAAAGTCTCTTTTCTGCAGTTTGAAGTTTAACTTATTTATTTAAAAAACATGCACATCTATGTCTATCTTTATGCATATTTTAAGGTAGTGGCCCAGGCTGGAGTGCTATTCACAAGCTATTGTGTGCCTTTTTACAAATCACTTTGTACTGCAACGCCAGTATTTAAACTAATTTTGAATTAGTTAAAAGTTTACTTGGACCAAGGGCGGCAAAACTCTGCATTTGGAATGTACCTGTATCGAAAGGAAAATAATATTCAAGGTACACTGTCTTGAGAGAAGGTTGAGTGCCAAACGCTTTGCTATTTTCAGCAAAAAATATTAGGGACCGTTCATTAGACCACCACTGACATGACAAGCGAACTTTTTGAAAATTGGGCAAAAAAATTTCTCCCACCATTCAGAGTAACTGTTTATACTAATGCTAGTTATCACAGAACTTTAGCTAAAATAGCACTGGTTGGCAATGAAATCCTCCTTTAATTTTTTTTATGATAAATATAATGATTCAAACGTTTCGAATCTATCCCCGTTGGCCGATTTTTTCTATCACGTCTAGATTTTTCGATATGGTTTTTTTGTATATTTCAAAATTTTGTTTTTTTTAATTTTTTCATTCGTCAACGTTGCAAAAAGTAAATATACATACATAATGAGTTCCAGGGAGTTGTAAGAGAAAGGAGGGAAGTGCCGAAGGTGATTTTTATGGTAGTATTCCTTGTGACACTACAACAGTTCAGTGAAAACTTGTCGTTTAATTGTTTACCTTTTATATCAAATATTTTGGTAAATTTTGTATAAAATTCGTGTTCTCTACATTGGATTTAAGTATTTGATATGTAGTTTGAGTATTTTTTTCAATAAATATAATATAGAAGTTTGAAAGTTGTTTTAAAATTAATTTTATGTGATTTTGGGTTACAAAATGCCACGGATTTGTAAAAATTCCTCAGATTGTTTTTGCTACATTTGTGGGGAATACATACTAAAAACACAGCGACATTTCATGACCGATCTTGTTAAAACAGCTTATAAGCTATATTTTGGATTTTCTATCGATGAGCGAGATGAAAGTTGGTTGCCAAAAGTATGCTGCAATGGCTGCTCAAGAACGTTGAGAGGTTGGCTTGAAGAAAGTCACAAATCCATGCCGTTTTCAATGTCAATGATTTGGAGTGAGCCTCAAAATCATGGGAATGATTGTTATTTCTGCATGACATCTACACGAGGATTCTCGAAAAAAAATAGAGATAAGATTGTTTATCCGAACGTCCTATCTGCAAAGAGACCAATTCCTCGTGTTCCTCCAGTTCCACCAGTTAATGAGGAGGCTGAAAATAAAAATATTTCAGGTCTACAATCTAAATCGAGTTTTCTTTCTGGTAGTACATCTTCATCTTCATACACTTTATCTGGATCTTCATGTCCATCTACAGAACCTCATTTACTTCAACAAGGCGACTTAAATGATGTTGTTAGAGACTTGGTACTTTCAAAATCTAAGGCACAGCTACTCGGATCAAGGTTAAAACGGTGGAATCTATTTACTGTAAAACTCAAGTCGCCACATTTTTTTTGCTTTTTGAAAAAATAAATATTAAATTAAAAACCTACGTGTGGTACTTATTTGTATATCAGATTCCGTGTTTAGAGCATAAAATAAGATGAATTCATGTATGAAAACAAGAAGGAGAGAAAAAAAAATGTTTTTTGCAGACCAGTGTAGCATCAACGATCAGCAGCAAAGACGAGATATTGCAAGAGTTCCTTTCTTAGCGGGACCTTTATTTTGAAGACACTTATATAAAAAAAAACAACTTGTCGCAAGTATGCAATGCATAGATTAAGACTGACCTACGTATGCATATGCATATATAGAATGCATATCAAGAGTGTTTCTTAAACTTCGTTTAAACTTGAATTTATAGAGGATATGTGGTTTCCAATGATTTGTTAAGTTTATTACAGAAATATGCCATATGTGTTTTCTCTCAGTGTGTTTGTGTTGCTTTAAAAGAATTTACCCAATACTTAACGGTCATAGAACACTATGCGGACCACTATGGCACTTTCGCGAAATCGGTGTAATTTCATTGTGAATACGCCCTGTATAAAGTGACCTTCACATCTCGTCGAACTTCAAATTTACGGCATACTTCGGTAAATATCAAAATTTGTACTCGTAATTGCGTTTTAAAATTACATTTTTTGAAATATCTTGGGTCCCCTGTATTATAGACGGAACCTCAAACTCTCTCTCAACGCAGTTTACGACACTGTTCATATCAAAATATCACATCTTTAAAAGTTTTTCCTTGGATGACAAAGGATATTCTGGATCTAATGGACAAGAGACGTCAAGCACGAAACAGGGACCAATGGAAATACAAACAGATTGACAGAGAGATAGGTAGAAAAATCATCGACGCCAAAGAAAACTGGCTACAGAGGAGGTGCGACGAAGTAGAAGAGTTACAAACACAGCACAGAGATAGAGAACTGCACAGAAAGATCAAAGAAATGGCGGGTCTGTGGAAACCCAAACACATATCTCTAATAAGCGATAACAACAACGAACTAGAACTCGACCCCAAAAAGCAAAAACTGATATGGCAAAACTAACTGAGGGAATTGTTTGGAAATGAACAGAGAAGAGAAGAACCTCCCCAAATCCAGAAGGGGGACAAACTACCCATACTAAAAGAGGAAGTCCTACAGGCTATCAGGGACACAAAAAGCAATAAGGCACCAGACGACGACCAGACGACGGCAGAACATTTTAAGTATATAAGTGACAACGCCATCACAACATTAACCCGGCTTTTCAATGAAATATATGAAAATGGAATATTGCCTCAAGACTGGCTAACATCGACCTACATAGCATTACCCAAAAAAAGCAAAGCCCGAAAGTGCGAAGATCACAGATGAGCCATGCAGCACAAATCTTCATGCGAATAATATTCAACAGAATCTATAACAAATGTGAAGAATATCTGAGCCGATCGCAGTACGGGTTTAGGAAACGCACAGGCACAAGGGAAGCTACTCTGGGATTAACTCTAATAGCAGAGAGGTACATGGAAGTCCAAAGGAAACTCTGTGTGTGCTACGTCGATTACAAAAAGGCCTTCGACCGTATAAAGCATGAGGAATTAATACGAATCCTGATGGAAATAGGACTGGATGGTAGAGATATAACCATCATCCGCAACATGTACTGGGACCATAAGGGCTGCGTACGAACGGAGACTGGAAACACCGAATACGTAAATATAGAAAGAGGGGTAAGACAAGGATGCATACTGTCCCCACTCCTATTCAACGTGTACGCGGAGTCTATAGTGAAAGCATCATTACAGACCTGCCCCGAAGGAGCTAAAATAAATGGGAACATTATCAACAACATAAGGTACGCCGACGACACCGTGGTGATAGCAGATTCGGAAGAACAACTGCAAACTTTGATGAGCATCCTAAATGAAGAAAGCTCAAGAATGGGCCTGGAAATCAATACCGCTAAGACCAAGACCATGGTATTTGACAGATCCTCACAGGGGCACATAACCAACATTATGATAAATGGTCTCAGACTTCAAACGGTGCAACACTACATCTACCTGGGCAGAGAAGTCAACAACCAACTGGACCACTCAAAAGAAATAAGAAGAAGAATAGAAATCGCCAGAACTGGATTTCTAAATATGCGTAAAGTGCTATGTCATCCGAGACTATCAATAACTCTCAGACTAAGAGCACTTAAATGCTACGTATGGGCTCTATTGCTTTATGGCTGTGAGACATGGACACTTAAGCAAGACGACATCAAGAAACTCAACGCATTCGAGATGTGGCTTTATCGACGTATGCTTCGGGTCAGTTGGACAAGCCACACAACTAACGAGACGGTGCTACGTAAAATGAACACACGAGCACACTTGTACGCGCTCCTTAAAATACGTAAAACCGCTTACCTCGGACACATCATGCGCCACCAAGAGCACGAACAGCTTCAGCTGATATTGGAAGGGAAGATAGAGGGTAGACGGAACATAGGCCGAAAGAAGAAATCATGGCTGAGAAATATCCGGGACTGGACCCACACAGATGGAAATGCCCTCATACATCAAGCCCAGAACAGAGAAATGTATGCCACAATGGTCGCCAACCTCAGCAGAGACGGCACTTAGGAGGAGGAGGAAAAGTTTTTCAAATATCGCCAATAATTCACTCAGAAAAGCGCGAATTTCTATGATCTATTCGAATTTTTTGCCCACAAACGACGTACCCTGTATATAATTCCAAAAATGTTCGAAATAGCTCTGGATCTCCTTAGTTTCCAGTTATCCGAACTTTTCCAATGGAGTAAATGGTTTCCACAAACTACTTGTTTTCTAAAATAATGCAGTACGTTGTACTTGTAAATGACGTCATCGCGTCTAGTTTGAGGGCGAGAAATGGTGATTTTCATTTGGATTTTTTGAAATATCTCGAACAGCGTATGTGATAGACGAAAGCCGTAAATACAAAAATTGTAGCCTTTGATACGGCCATAACATATATTCAAAATCACTTCATAAAGGCGGACTTTGTTTGTGCCAACTTAAAATATTGTTACGTAGCAACTAGGATTCAGCCAGTTAAAGTTGCATTTAAAGTTGGCGGTGTCACCGTGTGTAACCTCTGAAGTGACAGCAAAAGCTGTTAATCGGTAAGACTGGAATCTGTTCGGTTGATGGGGCCTTAACGTGAGAGAATTGTCGCCTCGTCAGTAAATAAACGGGTCCACGCAATTCATTATCACTTCGACGTCAAAAAACAAAAGAGCGCGCGACCCGCGCAGGCAAACCGCCAACTGCGATGCACGAACGCCGACGTCTTGTGTTTCTCTTGCTGGCGTTCCTCACGGAGATTTCGTCGGGCACCGACCACCCCCGGCAAAAGCGATATCTGGTGTTTCCTGAGGGCAGCTCTCTGCAGATGAGTGAGTATACAGGGTGACGCAGGCTTAAACGTCAAGGAAATAATTTTTTTTTACCATAAACATATATCCTAACTAAATTTTTAATAAAAAATCTTTTTTTTAATTATTCAAATGCCTTCTTTTCTGATTTTTGCGTCACAGAGGACAATCTGATTGACAGTTATAAGAAAATTCATTGTATGCTACTGTTTGCTTATGTGTTTAATTTTTTTTATAATTAGCTAGTTTACAACACTACACATATACACTACACAATAATACACTTTTTTTGCCTTTTCTAGTGTTTTCGCAACTGGTTCCCGTAGTTGTTCGCAGGCCACGTAAAACAATAACTAAAAATCCAAGCAAAAAATATTTAATCTTTACTAAATTGTCGTACTATGCTAAAATAATGTGCTGGCAATAGAAAATGGGTAACGAAAATTCGCAAAAATTGTTCAAAGTTGGCACCTACAGGTTGCTTGAGCTTCATCGTTGATCGGCTCTTTATCAACTTTGGTTTTCATCGTATTTCATATAAAAAAATCCAAAAATCCAAAGGTGCTAAATCAGGGGAGCGCGCAGGCAAAGAAATATATATATATATATATATATATATATATATATATATATATATATATATATATATATATATATATATATATATATATATATATATATATATATATATATATATATATATATATATATATATATATATATATATATTCTCACGTGTTGATTCACGGATGGAAAAATGTGATGACACTATATTCCGGGATATCATCCGTTCGCTCGTTGAACTCCGACTGGAAACCTGCATCCGACTGGAATCCTGCAAATCCTGCATCCGACTGGAATCCTGCAGACGTTTCGCCAAAATCTCACTTGGCATCTTCAATTCTATATATATATATATATATATATATATATATATATATATATATATATATATATATATATATATATATATATATTAATAATTTTATTTAATCCGGTGCTAAAACCCGGCGCAAATCCACGAATTTAATTCTCCGGGTTAAGTCTTCATCGTGTTCCAGTTTTTGAGGGCACGTACCCCTCGGTCGGCATGGGCAACGTCTTCGTGTTCGGTAACACGGCGGCGATGGCTTACGAGTTGCCGTCCACCCCGGCATTTTTGAACTACGACAAGTTCGGAGACGCCCCGAACCGCACCGATTCGCGTCACGACGATGACGATTTCGATTACGGGTGGCGGCAAAACGCCGGCTGGAGATACGGCCCCGAGCCGCCCGAAATCCCGTATCACCGGGTGCACAGGCGCAGCCGCAGGGAATTGTACGGAAAAATCGAAAACCTTTTCCAGGCGTGAGTATCGGAAACATTTGAACATTTTTTGAGTAATTTTGGTATCACAATTATCTTTTAAAACCCATAGAATATTGTCTCCTTCAAAGTAATCCCCTCCACACTTGTGTCAATGTTTTTTTCTGATCCTCGAAGCACTTCTAGTAAGCAGTTTCTGATTCATCACAAAAAACGACAAACAACATTTTCAAACCTAACCTCAAAATGTTCCCTATAAAAACGTTATTCGCCATATGGCAGGGCTGGTTTAAAAAAATCCCGAAACATAAAAGGCAGCCCTCATACCTGTGGCGTTTGTAAGCAAATAAATGATTATCGTCACTTGGTGCAGCCTCGAGAAGCACGGCAGGGCGTGCCTGCTGAAGACGATCTGCAAGCTCGCTCGGTTACCGTCGAGGAAGGGCTCCATGGTGGAAGAAGTTCTAAAAGTGGTGTTTAGGTGAGCGAGGCGACCATGCAATGATGACGCTGTAGCATCGGTTTCGCAGATCGAAGCCGCACTCCGGGTACCCCGACGAAGACGACTACGACGTGGCGGCGGCGCCGGCGGCGAACTGCGACCGCCTCTACCTCGAGTGCCCGGGTTCGGTGCTGGGTGGGATTTTTGGCAAATAAACGATTTTTTCGGAAAAATTTTGTTTTAATAACGGACGTAGTTGACATCGTTTCGCACGCGGGAAAAATGGCGGACGAAGTTCGCTTCGCAACCGCGAAAGAGCGACTCGCAGTCGCCGCCCCCTCGCCCCGCTTGCTCCGCGCCGTAGTACTCGTTGTTCGAGTGGTGGACGAGCTCGTCGAACGTCGACGACGGCCTGACGGAATCGGAGTTTCAACATTGTCGCGATAAAAAAGGGAAAAACATACGTCAAAAACGCGCGGCCGATTTCGGCCAGGAGACCTGCTCGCTCGTCCAACGGTACCGCCGCCGCCTCGCAGATCGCCTGGAGCACGCACGCTTTTCCGCTGCCGTAGCCGTTGGCCTCTAGGTATTCCTCCGCCATGCCGTACATCGTCCACCGGGTCGCCGAGCGTTTTTTCCTGACGAAATCGATGCTGGGTCGAGTATAGTACGAGCTGTTGTTGGGCAGCTGGTAGAACGCCTTCATGACCATACCCAGCGTGATGCTCTGGTAGCGGACGTCGACGGGGATGCCGATGCCGAAGATAACCTGAAACCCGATCGAAATCGAGACGAGTTTGGGGCGCGCGCGCAGCTAATCTTCTCCTACCGCCACCCAGTTGGTACCCGGCTTCCACACGAGCCACCTCCGTTGTCTGGAGATGAGCGCTTCACTGGTGTCCCGCAGGAGGAGGTCGGCGCGGATCAGCGCCGCGCACGCGCCCAGCCACACCAAGCACGTTTTCATGTCGTCGTCGTCGTCGCCGTCGAAGTTGAACGGCAAGTAATGATCCGAGTTTGGTTAACGGCGCGTCGCACCGTTCGTCTTCGCTAATTGGCAAAGGAGGCCCGAAAAAACTGGGCCGCGATAATTGATCCGAATTCAAAATTTGCCAACCGACCTGTATAATTTCTTTAATGCAATCGATATTTATTGTGGCTAACGACTTAACCTAAAAACATTGAACACAACATGACCACAGGCTGCCTAATCATAAGGAAAGAATATCTGTGTTCAACACTACATTAAAATATCTAAATACTACGGTATAGAGGTAGAGGGCGCTTGGTATAAACACAAGCCAAAAACATTGAAGCTAATGGGGAAGTCAGCGTAATATGAAACGCAAGTACGCAAGTACAAACAGACACGACTTTGACGGAAAATAAACCAGACAGTATAATGTAAAAAAAAACATTTGCGTAATTTCCTTCTATTTTTCACGGTTAACCATTTTACCTCCTTCGGTTTTGTAGAACACCGTCTTATTTACACATGCCGTAAATCAACCTCAAGCATGACTTTTGTACTTTTCATTAATATCATTACTATGACTTAAAAGCAAGAAGTCTGCAAGTTTAAAACATCATTAAATGTTTAGATGCTTTTTGGATGCATTTGTTTATGTGGGGTTTGCCTTGCCTTCTATAACTATATCTATAAATATCCACTAAAAAAGCAGAGGACATAAATTACATTGCAAGTACATCAAGCTTTTGAAAATATGGTAAGCATGACACTCGCAGATGCAAGTTATAAATACATCTAATGATGAGTTTTTTGGGCTATGAAAACCTGATCTGCGAACGAGGAGGATCTGAGGAAAAGTATTGATGGCTGCACAAGTGTTGTTTAATTTTGATACCAGTCCATCAATCGTATCTTTCGGCCTAAGTGTTTACTCTTTCAACGATCAGAATTGATCCCTGGCAGCCCTTTACATATGAGGGATCATTACATTTTAACGGTATTCCGTCTTAAGTTTTGGTTATTACACCGCTCCACCATCCCACCAACAGCTCGAGACCTCGAGATAGCTCGTCATCAGAACGACCAGTCAGCAGCACTACCGTGAGCAAACTGACAAACCATTCCAGATACAAACCCAACACACAGACTATTACCATAATGCAGGGGGCCAAGAACAGACCCCTGCGGTACTCCCTGGTGAATTGAGGTCTCATTGCAGGTGTAGTGTATGTTGGATAGTACTGTTTTCTTAAAGAAACATAAGTTTGCAATAGTAATGTATTTTTTCTCCTTAAATTGTAGTATTAACTTGTAACGTAAGGATTACAGGCCATGCCTGTAATTCAATTGTGCATTTAAAACAAAAAATTATGCAAAAATGCCTCTGTATGTGAAATTTATAATAAATATTACAAAAATGATCATGAAAAGTTTGTGAAAAAAAAGCGACGCATATTTTTTAAACATTTATTCTACCGTCCCCCCGGAATATCGAAATTTTCCCTAGAAAATCGACGCCGCATTCCGGGAAAATGGCACCGCAGTCTGCGCCGTCGCGACCCATCTCTTCGGCGGCGTGGTAGGCCCCCTTCGAGCTGTCGGTGACGTCGTCGTCGGTGCTCGATGGCCTGAAATTAGGCTCGACGTTAGTTTAAATTACAAAATATATAATGATATGATTCTGAAGCCTTTAACAGGGATTATAAATCAATCTTTAAAACAGGAATATTTCCTACAAGTTTTAAAATTAACATTGTCGTGCCTCCAAAGCTTTCAACTACGTTCCTTCTGATATTGGAAAAGTTTTTTCGTATATCGTATACGAGGTGTGTCAGTGAAACTAACTGAATCCTATCTCCCGTTTCGCACCCAATGTGTGGAAGACAATGGTGAGCTTTCTGGAAAGATGAACACTGTAGTCCCTCAAGGCTCCATTTTGGCACCCTTGTTGTTCATTGTCTTTATAAATGATCAGCGTTTAGTAAGACATTGGCTGCGTTGGAAGGAACCTCAAAAAACCAAGGCTAGGCAAATATACTTCTCATCAACACGGAGAAAACTAAAACTTTGATTATTCATACGGATATTCGGGTTTGCGAGGGAAATAGCGCGAAGTTACTCGGTATGACTATTGACGACAGTTCGTTGGTCTGCACATGGAAGTTTATTGTGTTCAGATTTTTTATGATTTCGACTGTTTAGGGTTTTGACCTTTTCTACTCTACTGGAATTATTGTATGGGGTGACAGTACAGCTTCAAAAAGTGCCCTTATTTTGCAAAAAAGGCAATCCGAGTATTAGTTACAAAAATCACTGGCAACCTCATTTTTCAAAGAAACTTGCATGCTGGTTTCTTAACTGAAACTGGTTCAGCTGGGGAAACTGGTTTCATTTACCGACGCAGGCGATATCCAGACGATTTGTAAATAGTATCCCCGCCAACCCTCTATCGTGTCTATACTTGTACGATACTTTGTTAGAAGTCCATACAAAAAACGTGGACCTACCTTCCTCTCTGGCAACAATCTGTATAAGAATATTAGTCCAGGCGTAAATCCTGTGTCGCGTTATTTAACTTGTAGAAAAATAAGTAAGTTTGAAGATTTCGGGTGTATGAACAGACACTTCGGGATGTTGAGGGTAAGATTATTTTGCTCGCGCCACATGTAAACATTAGATATTATACAATATATAATCTGGATATTTTAAAATACCTGTTTATCATGTTCGTCTAAAAAAAATGGTTTTAATTGTTATAGTTTTTCATTATTTCCGTGCTTTCTTGCTATAATGTAACTGTAAAATTGTACATAGTCGAAAATATTCTACCTGCACTTACGTCAGTACGCCGTGTACGACCTCCGCGAGGAGTCCCGCTCGACGGTCCAGAGGCTTCGAAGACGCCTCGCATATCGCTCTCAGAACGCAGGCCTTGCCATCGACGCCCTGCTTCTTCTCGAAGTACTCTTCTATCGATTCGTACGTCATCCACCTGGTGGGCGTCCTCTTCGTGCGCGTCCGCGCAAACTCCACCGTCGGGCCGCCACCGGTGTAGTAAGAACTGTTGTTGGGCAGCTGGTAGTACGCCTTCATCGTCATTCCGAGGGTGATGCCGTGGCGGCCCACCTCGACGGGGATGCCGATACCGAAGATCATCTGAACAAATGGCGACTACCATTGTCAACGCCATCTTCTAAGCTTTTTCTTTTCAAGTTCAGACAAAAAGTTAGATCACATAAATGAAGACATTACTGAAAACATTGAATGAAGTTTAGTTGGCGTATTGCCCTTCTGGAATGACGTCACGCTGATTTAACATAACGCCAACTTAAACGTATACCGTACGGAACTGTAGCTTGTCAAAAATGGCTGACAAGGATTTAGAACTTCAAAACTAAGATTTTCTTGCGAATAAAATCACAAAGTTTTACTAATGTAGATTATTTAATTATATTAATTCTCAATTACAGACAATACTGAATATAACTAATTTTAAACAAAAACAAACAGCCACTTCCTTTGACTGTCGCCACAATCAAAACTAAATTCTAAAATGTCTTCATCGTCACTGTTGTCGTCGTTACAGTGTTATAGATATTATTTTATAGCGCTCTCGTGTTGTTAATAACACACAAAACATATCAATTTTTTTTTATTTTTTATTAAAAAAAAAACTAAAAACTGCTTTAGTGATAATAAGCCAAACTTACTGCTACCCAGTTGACCCCCGGTTTCCACACCAACCAGCGTTTATCGCGCGACAACACGGCGCTGGTGTCGCGCAAGAAGCGCTTCCGGAATGCCGCAGGTGCGCAGCAGGCCGCAAGGACCACCAAAACCAACGACATCTTCATCGCGTCTTCACGGCCGCGGCCCCAAAAGGTCCAATTAACGCGACGGCGAGCGTGGACATAACGGTCCACTCGCGCGACCCACAAACCGCCTAAGCCGGCGACCTCAAACTCTCCGAGCACGTCGTCCAGGTATGCCCCTACGTCTCCTCGTGCTGCTGGTCGCGTTCCTGTGCTTGGCCGTCGCCAAGCATCGCGTGAGGCGCAAGGTGCTCTTCACCAAGAGCAGCAAATTCTTCGTGAGTATACGGCGCGGGCGCCGTCGCCGCCGCTTTCAGCCGTTCTTCTTTCGCAGTTCCGACTCAACGGCAAAGACAACATGCTGAACTACACGGACATTTGGGCGCACGGCTGGGGTTTTCGCATCAACTACGACCTGCCGCACACGGTGCCGAAGCGAAACCAATTCTTCAGGCGGGACGTCCACTCGGATATCGCGAACTTAGACGATCCGTAAGTTTTACGACGTCGTCGCCGAAACTGTTTTTGCCCGTCCGTGTTTTCAGAGTGCTGGCTGGTGCGCTGTCGTGCGCGTTGAGGCCGTTTTGTGAGATGCTGACCGGACACCGCGGAGAAGGCGACAACTGCGGCGTCCTCTGCGGGATCGCTTCCCTAATCGAAAGGACCCGGGGGACCGAGGCGGCCTTCTTCAGGAGCTTCGCGGACGGATGCCGCGCGGAACGCACCGCCTGTCACGACGTAGGGAATGAGGGGCGGGAGGGGGCTCAATAAATTCCCGTAGGAAATACCGCGTGTTTTTTTTTTTTGAGCTACCAGAGAAAATTGAAAAATTGACAGGTATTCTTAGGTATTCGTAGTTCCTAGGAGTATTATTTATGAAAAATCGCAACACAATGAGTAAATTTTCACTTTTTCTAGTCGATTTTTATTAAATTCCAATCAAAATCACTTTTCGTGAAAATATCATCACACCGGCGGATATCGACTCAAAAGCTCGCACTCTGGCTCGAACAGTAGTACCAAGGAGGATTTTTATAAAAAAAAAAACAGAAAATTACTGAAACATCACTTTCTTTAGTCGGTTTCGAACAGATTCCAAGCAAAATCATCTTTTCCGCCACTTTGTATCAAAAAATATCATTCGAACAGAAAATTCAGGAAGGATTTTTAAGAAAAGAAAACGAAGAAATACTTTGGAAACACTTACAAACTTAAACTACTCTGTTTTTACTAAACTTACTTTTGGAACCATTGTTATTAATCACACTGTAGAATCAAAATAAATAAGAACTAAAAGTTCAGATTTTCACGAAATTATATATTTTTACATGACAATTGTTTCGACAACACCGTGTCTCTATCAAATGTAATATTTAGAAACTACCTGCTACTATATATACCGAAAAATGTGAGAATTTAAGTTCAATAAAGGTGTTTAAATCTTATTGATCGTTAATGTCTCATTTTGGGATTTTGGACATTTCGGTTTATTGTTTTTTAAATATTTTCCTATTGTCTTGTTAGTTCTGAAAGCTATTTTTAAACCACATTTTGACAAATGTTTTGAAACATTGAGAGCAAGAAGTTTACCAAAATTAGAAAAATTCCACGTGCCATTGTATTTTTTTATTTTTAACGCCCTTTCTAGTATATATTCTCTAAAAAAACTAACTTTTACATGCAACGGCCATACCACGCTGATACACCAGATCCCGTCCGATCTCTGAAGTTAAGCAGCGTCGGGCGCGGTTAGTACTTGGATGGGTGACCGCTTGGGAACACCGCGTGCCGTTGTATTTTTTTGTTTATTTTTAACGCCAGTTGTAGTATATATTCTATTTTAGTTGCAAGTTCCATTTTAAATTTTGAATAAAATCCTTCCTAATCCTGTCAGGTCATAACGACACTTATCATAAATGCAAAACAAACGCGCCATCAAAAAGAGGTAAAAGAATAACTATTTTGCATGCTGGCTCTGAAGATGGTTGGATTCCAAATGGACTTTCTCTGTCTGCGAAAAATATTAAAGATTCTTCTCTTGATTGCCATGAAGACACCACCGCTGATTTATTTGAAAGTTTGAAAGTTGGTTTAAAAACAATCTAGTTCCAAACATTCCTCCTAATAGCGTCATTGTAATAGACAATGCAAGTTATCACAGTAGACAGTTGACTAAAACCCCTTCCTCATGTGACACAAAAGCAACAATCCAAAACTATATGTATAATAACGACATTTATTTTCACGAAGATTATACCAAAAAGCAATTAATTGAGGTTCTACAAAACTTGAACCTACAAAAGGAATACGTCTGTGCTAATTATGCAAAAAATCTAGGGCATACAGTTGTAAGGCTTTCACTTTACCACTGTATGTTTAATCCCATTGAACATGTTTGGAACCAACTGAAATCTGCCATTCGAAATTTAAAGAAATCTTTTCTGATTTGACCTAGATTAATACATATTTACCGCAATCCTCGTCTTCTCGAGTAATACCCTAATTATGCAATAATTGAGTATGAATTGTTAATTTTCAAGTCCAGTTAAGTAAACTAGAGCGTCCCGGAACGTTCCTATTTTGTTTCGAGACCGCTTTCGTATATCGTTTACAAAATATCATTCATGTACTAGATACCTATCTAAAAATAAAAAGGTCCAAAAACCGACAAAATAGACTTAATTTATTTTGTAGAGTATCACAGTCAAGTGGCGGTCGCATTTTTTTATTTTAACACAGTTCTATTATATATTCCTTCAAGAAATTTAAATTGACGTGCAACGCTGATACACCAGATCCCGGAGGGCGCTGTCAACCAAAACAAGCCGGACCAAAGGGCCCCAACACTAGCCCGAACATGGCCGGACGGCGCGGGTGTCACGCCAGCGTCGTTGACGATAATCTATAGTTTATTTACGATATTATATTGCATATGTATATTGTATATAACAGAAATATGATTTTGACGATGTAGTATACTGTAAATAAATAAAGACTGTTTGAAATGAAGTTAAGCAGCGTCGGGCGGGGTTAGTACTTGGATGGGTGACCGCTTGGGAACACCGGGTGCCGTTGTATTTTTTATTTATTTTTAACGCCAGTCGTAGTATATATTCTTTAAACGAAATACATTTTAGTTGCAAGTACCATATACCCTTTTTTGTATTTTTTAAATTTACACAACCGTCTTCAATTTTGAATTTGGCGCCAAATGCGAAAATTATCAACGTAAAACTGATATGATGAAGTTATTTAATAAAAAAACCCTATGGATAACCTAATATTTGATGAAAGATATCAAAAGGTAGTTGGATTTATAATAAACGTAAAAGATAAAACTTCAAAGTTAACAAACATTTGGCGCCGTATCATGACATTAACTACACCAACGGTTGAAAACATTCCCAGAACCCCATACCCGACTCCAACATTATTATCTTTAACCGTATGGGCAACTTTACCCAAAAATGTTTCGTATTCTATAGGAAACTATTTGAAACATTCACGCCGCTTCGAAATTAACACCCACCCTTCATCAATCAAAGTTGCTTTTGAGCTCGAGCAGATACGTGTTTTATAATTCTGTTAGGGTTTGTCGTAGAATTGTTAATTCACTTGGAGTTTACTTGCGTATTCGACTATTAAGTCAAATTCTCATAAAAGAAAAGCACGCGCGTGGGGGTGGATATTCAAACGGAAATAGTTTTCACTTGTAAGGGGTAAATAATAAATAATGAATGAAGGATTTTGCGTGCCCGAGTTTATCCTCTCTTCACTCTTTCACCGACAATAGTTGGCCTTGTTCCTGGCAATTATATGTACAAGTGTTTCGCTATAATGAAATTTGAAGGAAAATAATGATGAAAATTGCTATTATGACACAGGTTTTATTAGCTGCTTTTTCGTTTGCCCTGTGTATTTATTAAGAAAGCATCATACGCAGTAACGAGTTCAATTGTTATATTCTAATATTATCAACTGTCAACTAACAACAATCTAACAAAAATTCGTGTCCACCTGGTATATAGCGTTATAAACAAATTGGGCCGCTGCTTTGCACATTTTATCTGAAAATTTTTCTGTACATCGGTGAAATTTTTGATTCTTGGTCGAGATCGCAAATGTCAATGTCGCCCTCAGAATTGTCGCTAGGATTTACGCGAATAATATGTTCATCCATGTTCGAGATTATCAGCTGACCACATTTCCTTTTCGGTGTTTTTCTATGTGTTGGACGTAATTTGTCCGCTGACACCCGGAGTGCAAATAATCTCGTGCTTCCGAGATAAATTCAGTAATTTTCATGTTTTTTTCCAGTTCTATACTTACCTTTAAATTTAGCACACTATTAGGCCTTAGCTGTTCATGATCTTAAGAAAATACATTCATACTTTGTTACAAATTTTAAAAGATCGCTCGTTAAAGATCGTTATAAAACTCTCCATCATACTCTGTGAATTCGCCCACTCAAGCAGACCTGAAAATTTCACTATTTTGGAGAGGAAATGAAACTTTTCATAGGAGGAAGTTTATGAAAAAGCCGAAGTTCTGGCCACGTTAACTTCTGGACTTTTTCCCGCACACCGCTCCGATGAACTTCCGAGCAATCGATTGCGCACTATTAAACCAATTTTAATGACCTTTCGCGGTTTACTACCCGTCGCAGCTATATTAAACCTAATGCACGCTTTAAGTAATGTAATAAAACACATCACTCAAGAGCGATTCTGCATGTATCGATCGTTTTCGCTATTCATATTTCCCTTCATTGTGCCATTTACAAAGTGCCGGATTGCCGGAAAGAAATACTTAAAATCTGCAATATAGAATTACATTTCTGCAGCAAGCTCTGGTTGCCCTTTTTTGTTTGGCATATAAAGCGAAAAGATATTTAATTTCATCTATTCAAAATTGGTACTTTACTGCAGAAAAATGCTTGGTGATTTTATGTGAAGGGTCGAGGCGGTATTTTTAAGTTTACAATTAATTGGAAATACTGCGTCTCTTTTGTATTGCGGCAATGTAATAATGATAAAGCGATGAAATACGAGGGTCCCTTGAAAAGTTTCCGACCACACGTTGAATATAGCACTAGGTAGTAAATTTACCAAAAGTTGCAGTCCGTTTGGACTCGTAGTTTTTAGCTGAGAGTCGTGTTAGTCGATGTGTGTTCGTGCGAACGGACTTTTTTTTTTGCGTTGGCCTCTGCGCTCTGAGCAACTGAATTTAAACGTGGTTCGGGACGTCCTAAAACTGTAGCTGCCGACTATCAAACCAATCAAATGGTTTTAAACGGCCGTCGAATTCAAGTGAACGAGATAGCAGAGGTTATGAAAGTGACGGAAGAATGTAGTCCGCGCTTTAAGTGCCGTGTTTGCTCACGTTAGACCAAAAACGTATCCGAATGAAGGTTTCCAGAGGTTCGGCTCCTGTTAATTACTTAGATACACCGTTATACTCACGAATCAAAAATACAGTCAAAATAGTGAACTACGAAGGGGGAACCGACTCCGAAAAAAGCAAAAACTGGAAATGGAAATAAATCGCTTCGAATTGGAGAATAATTGGAAACTAATTTTTTTATTAGATTAATGGAAGTCTGGCTAAGAAAATTAAGTGCCCTAATAAAAAGATTATTTCTGAATTTACGAGCGTTCATTAATTAATATCAATTCCAGCGTAAAAACTTTGCCCAACTGAGATTGTAATTGTAATTAAACCGATTTTAATTTAATTGTTCCGAAACCTAAAGCAATGCCGTCCGGGCCCCCCGCTATTCAAAACAACGCTTAGACGCCGAATTAAAACGTTTATTTCAAAAATGAAAACATTGACACAAATATAATCATCTATCTTAACAATAAATCAGTCTCCTTGTTCATTCGATGCGAGTCGTTGAGGCTCAGAACTCTCTGCTCCTTAGGTCGTTCATGTACGCTGTCAGCTCGTCTTCCAGAGCGCCGAATTCGATGTCCTTCAGGCTGCTGTTGCTGATTTCTATGGGCCGTTTCAATTTGACGTCCAACTCGATATTGGTCCTCAGCTCTGACGGCGAAACGCATTCGAAATACTGGGCGAGTCCGTTAAACGGACCGTCCGCGGTCGCCGTCACTGGCAAGCAGGCGAAAGTCGTGTGCGGTGGCGACAGAGGGCGCGCTGCGCAAACGTTAGGGCGGTCGTCCCGCTTCGTAAATTTAAACCTGAAATAAGGATTCTCGCGCAAATTCATTAATGGAAAAATAGCCAAGAAAATTTTCAGGAGATCGCGCATCGCACAAGATGCACATCCCACGTAATGTTAGATTTTTTTTGCACTTACAGGGTGCGGCAGTAACTAAAGGTATTCTTCTATTTTTATTATAATAATATAATATAAATATATTATGAAAGCTGTGGAGGCAAATATTTTAAATTAGTACCCAACAAATATAAAATTAAAATATTCTAAATTTACGAACTTTGTATCGCCAATTAGACTAGAATCATTAACGTTTTGAAGTTTTCTATAGCTAATGTTGTCACTTTTTTATATACAGGGTTGTAAAACATTTTTTTTTATAAATAGAACACCCTACATTTTACTGCATATTTGGATAGTCCTTTGAAATACTAATTTAAAGGCATATATGAGTATGGGTCTCTAATTTGCAGGTAAACTTAAAAACTTTAAGAAGTCATATGAAAAACAGAATATTACACTTTGCGCAATGTTGCCAAATTTCGCAAATTACTTATTTCTACGTTTAAACGTCTACGTGAAATGATAACAAAAATTTGATACTAACTACTAATGCGTATTGCTTACAAGAAAAAAAATTTTTTTTGGGGAATATTATTATGTATAAGTGACCGAATTTCGTTCATTAATAAGTTTAAATGTCGTAAGGACGTTAAATTTTGTTGGAGAAATATGGGTCCTCCAATTCTAGGTCTCTAGAATGAGCACTATACTTTCACGGATCTTCGCCCCTGTTTGTTTACTCCAACTCCAATAATGCGTATTTTTTCTATTAAATAACACCGCAGACGTGGTAAACATTGATTCATCGGTTCAAATTGTATTTTGAAATATGTAATCTAAAAAATGCCTTATCCATCATTATAGACAATGTAGTTTTTGTACTGGCTTATAAGTGTTAATTTTGAAATATGTTTGAAGATGTGGTTCGTTTTACATCTGAAGCGGCAAGGCGGGTGGACATCTCTGGAGTATTTTCAAAATGCAGAAGAATATATAGCTGCATATTTATACAAAACCATTTTTTTCACTAAAACAGTGCCATTTGTTCGAAACTGCTGGTATATATACATTTTACGTGGTTAATATAGCAACTGTTCCTTAATGCATCACAACAACAACAATTTTCTGAATGACTTATTCGTCTCTTTAAGTTGGAAGCCTGTGTTTTCTACACAAAAATATCCCAATAGCCAATATCAAGTTTCTTTGCAGCTCAGACAATCCAACATTGTTTTCAAATTAGACTCACCGAGTCGTAATATTTATGCAACCAAGATCAACATTTAAAATTCATAAGTACGCTTGCAGCATTTATCCATGTGCGAATTTTAATCAAAACTGAGATGTTAATAGAGAGTTACCAAGTGGATATGTTGCAGTGTTTACAGAAGCTCGCTTTGTTTCACTTGCTACAGCGTACTTTAAAACAATCACTGTTTATACTGAAGGAAACAATTCTCGAGCGTATTTTAAGAACAAAAAACATTATACGAACGTAATGTCTTCATTTTTGACATACAGGGTGGTTAAATGTTTTGTTATTTATTTTTTATTTTTTCCTATTTTTAATATAGCTTAATATAATTTAGTAACTCTATTCTGTACATCCAGAATCATTTCTACCAATGATGTCGGTTGGAGACTTCTATCTCATATCTGACCTATTTCAAGGTGAATATTTTTGGTGGATAGTCTACTTATTTATCAAGATACCTAGAATCGTGCTTAAGTAATATAAATACCAAAATGATTTTCTATTCTTCTTCTTCACCAAATATTATATTTTTGTTATTATATCGTCTTATTATGGACTAGCTATTATTTACCATAGTTGGATTATAGTCATAGCACTATGTACATTAAATTCTGGGCTTAATAAAAACTATGCACACTACCTCTTTGGTTTATCCGATTGCGACGGTTCGTCCGGAGCCTTGAAGCCCAACACGGTATTCGTTTGATTGGTGGAGTCGTCTTTTGCGGAGTCCGAAGACTCCGGAACTTTTGCGTTTGATCTCGACAATACTGAGTATCGGCGTTGAGGTTTGCCTCGTCGGAAGCTGCAACCACAGCACCTAGCGAAAGTTTCCTGAAACAATAAAGCCCGCCTGTTTCTGAGATCGTCGGCCATACTTATTTAATTAAAACACTACCTTGAAAGCCTCTCGAAACTTGACGGACATGATGCTGTATAGAATGGGGTTCGTGGTGGCGGAGACGTAGTACAGCACTCCGCTGACGTAAGTGACGATAGAATATATCTGCAGATAAAGGGCGTGGTCTTCACCCGGTTTGGGAAAGGTCGCGTAGATCGTATACAGTCTCTGCACGTGGAAAGGGGCCCAGCAGATGAAGAAGGCGGCCACCACCGCCACTGAAAATGGAAATGGAGATATTGGCAAGAATTGGAAGAAACGCCAATAACTCCGCCACTGGATTTATTTACGATCCCACATGATTCCTTAAAGAAGACACTGACCGTTAGACTATTGGATCGACATTCGTTATAGGACTCGTAATCTTCTCTTCCTTCTATTTATATAATAAATAAATAAGTCAGAACCTTTTTTTGTCTTTCTTTTTCTTTTCCTTCCCTATAATAAGACTGGCGGATCTGATACACCTTTCAATCTGAAATAATAGTTATGTTGGTATTTTTCTTTTCTTTTGTTTTGTATTATCTTTCTGATTAACTAAGCTTCCCTTAATGCAATATACTTATATTTGCATTCTTAAGTAATAATCATTAAGTAAATAAATAAATATTCTTTTTAATAACGTGATCATATCAATATCAATGATCATATTTCGTGTATTTTGGGCTTTACGGACAAAATGGAAAATCCAGCTTTTTCCATTCTCTCGACTTCTACATGCTTCCCAATAATTATATTGGATACGCCGCATAAAAAAACTACAAGGACAGGTTCTAAAATTTAAATTTAACACTGTTTTAAGTTAATAGCACTTTATTGTGAACTTTTACAGGCTTCTAGTTGCTTAGTTACGAGTAGGTGTCTTAAATAAATATATTGCCCTTAGAGAGTGATTTTTTTTTTTATTTAAATCTAGGAACTAAGGCTAGTAGAAATAAATTTAAATTTCTTCTTCATTCTGAAGACGGCGAAGGCTGACTTTGTCGAGTAGTATTAGATAATCGGTCAGTTTAACTTAAGTTAGCTCTTATATTTTGAATGTTAATCCTAATTAAACAAATAAATATATAAAAACTAGTGATAGGAGTGATGAACGAAAATTGCTGAAACGGAGTACACCATTCGATGTTACGGACCAGCCGCGAGGGCCTTTTGATTTTTTCCTTTCCAATTAGGGCTGAAATAAAGTGGAAGGAAAGAAAAAAAATTAAAACTAAGAGAGTCCGTGTGTTCCAATACAGTGGCCCACTCTTCGGGTCAACGTTAATAAAAAGGAAAAATGAGGTTTTTATTGAAAAAGTTTCAAAAGCGATGTTATCTCCCGGAGCGTTATTGTGTTCTTTACACTCAAGCCATATTACTCTAACAAGAATTTCATTAGATCGGGAGGAGCTGATTTCACGGGATCGAGAGCGGATAACGAACTGCATCGCCACAGGACACACAGAAAAATAGTAAACACAATATAACGTAGGGATCGCTCACGGTACATACGTACAGTTTGCTTTCGTGCATCCAGGCATGAGGCATAAAACATTTTACAACCAAATCTATTATCGCTACTGACTTGATAAAATGAAAAACTGTGGAGACATCAATAACAAAAATATAAGTTAATTCGATTTACTAAAGGTTTGTTTTATTTCTATTTACAAAACTATATTACAGTGATAAATTGGTTAAGATAATTGTGAGGACGGAGACTGTTCCACCAAGGCTCTATGGACTACCTAAGATACACAAAGTAGATGTCCCGTTAAGACCAATAGTGAGCGCACCCGGATCACCAACGTATTACTTGGCTAAACACTTGGCATCGCTGCTCCAACCACACGTAGGACACGTCACCAGTTACATCAAGGACTCCACCGACTTCGTGCGCAAGATTCAAGATATCCATATTGAACAAAACGACATCCTTGTGAGCTTCGACGTCGTCTCACTGTTTACCAAAGTACCTCTGAAGAGTTGCTTGGACCTGGTGAACAGGATATTTCCTGTCGATATTTGCAAACTTTTTGAAGTCTGTCTGACCGGTAGCTATTTCGTGTGGAAGGGAAACTTCTACGAACAGGTGGACGGAGTGGCAATGGGAAGTCCATTAAGCCCGGTTATAGCTAACTTATTTATGGAACACTTTGAGGAAAAAGCAATCGAGACCTCAGAGTACAAGCCAGCAACGTGGTTCCGGTACGTGGATGACACCTTCGTGATTTGGAAACATGGTATGGACAAGCTCAACAACTTTCTGCAGCATCTCAACAGTCAGCATCCCAGCATCCAGTTTACTATGGAGACTGAAAATGACCAACAACTTGCATTCTTGGACGTACTAGTGAGGAAGCGAGGTAACAAGCTGGGCCACACAGTTTACAGAAAACCAACCCATAGGGACAGATACCTGCATGCTCTATCCAACCATCACCCAAGTCAAAAGTATGGGATTATCAGAACCCTGACAGAACGAGCCCGAATTATTTGCGACCCGGAGAACCTCCAGAGGGAACTTGAACACCTGAAAACTGCGTTCGAGGCAAATGGCTACAGCAAGAGGGAGATCGAGAGATCAATGAACTCAAGATCATCAAGATCACGGGATATCGAACAACGACCCTCCACCTCTCACACATATCTGCCGTACATTCCGAGTATCACCGACAGGATTGGCAGAGTATTGAAAAGACACGACATCAAAACAATCTTTAAGCCTACAAAGAAAATCCAGCAGACCATCAGGTCAGCGAAGGACACGAGGGACTCACTTTCAGCTGCAGGAGTCTACCGCATTCCGTGTTCATGCGGAAAGGTCTACATCGGAACTACCAAGAGATCAATGGGAACGAGACTTAAGGAGCATAAAGCAAGCTGCAGGCTAGGACAGACAGAGAAGTCTGCAGTAGCTGAACACGCACTGGGCAGCGGGGAACACAGGGTACACTTTGAGAGCTGTAAGTTACTAGCATCGGTCAACGGCTATCACAACAGACTAGTCAGGGAAGCCATTGTGATACAAAAACACCCACACAATTTCAACAGAAAGGAGGAGACACTTAGACTCAACCAAATCTGGAACCCGATCCTTAGGAACGCCCGAGCAATACCGATCGATATCCCGAGACCAACCGAAGCGGAACAAGCCCCGCCCACCACCAATCGGCATAAATACAACCTGCGCAGGAGAAATCATCAGTCTACGTCCAACATCGGAGATGGAAGGACTTCTGAAGAAGCTCGCCACTCGTGCTAGCGAAACGTTAGGAAGTAATTCCAACCGACGACGGCCTTTAAACCCGAATCAAGATAATAGCTCTATATTACAGTATCAGCTAAACTTACAAGATGGTTGTGAACCTACTTACAGCTGTGTAAACTTCCAAAATAACTTAATTTCTAGAGTGTATAGTTACCTCCTCTAAGAAGTGACTTACCCAACATTTTGACGACCTTTTTGCACGACCGGCTGTGAGCCTTGGGGCCGTTCCTGCAAGACTTTCTCACGCTGGAAGCTTTGAGAGCGGTACCGATCAGGATGTAAAGTACTGTGATGACAGTCATGGGAGCGAGAAAGAACACGAACGTGGAAATCTCGAACGAGTGGCCCATGACGGGTTCCGTTGGTAAACAGTGGGGGCAGGTTCCCTCCACCCTCAGCGGTAACGCCTGAGGTATTGCGAAACTCACAGCTACCTACAAAAGAATATTATAACGATGATAGATTCAATTACAATTACAAACACAATCAATAACGATTTGGGTGCTCGTTGTTCCCCAAGCAACTTCTAACTTCTAGCACCTGCTTTTCCGTATTACTGGAGTACTTCCAAACTGAATTATAAAGTTGACACACTGACACTGATTGTTGAAGATAAGCTTTCCGCGTAGGTGGCTACGAGTTACAAGTTTTGTTTTGCCTATTTCTCGGTATAATTAGTTAAAAATAAGCGTGCCGATTTTAAAAATGATGTATGAAACTTCAAAATGAGTCATGGTTGATCGATTATAGTTGAGAAATATGTAAAAACCATAGTAGAATATCATACCGTAAATAAATCATATTTTTCCATTCATAAATGCTGGCCTGAAATGTCTAAATGATGAGTACATAATATACCGGTAAAACATCGAAAAAACTCTGGTATTCAAAAGCAGATAGGAAAAATACAATTGAAGGGTCTAAAGATACTCTATAAATTTTTGACCGCATCAGAAACTCTCACCAACTGCAAAATCTTTCATTGCTGCAGAAAAACCCTTACAATATGATTTTTGGGGGTTTTAATCAAAATAATTAGTAAGTTATTTAAGTTTCAAGCAGTCTAAACCATACTTCTAAAAAGGTTACTTACACGATTGTTTATTTATAAAGAAAACAAAAAACTAAGATACTCTGCATTCTATAGGTCGCCTTCTATAAACGAACACGAATTCAATCAAGATTTATATAGTGAAGTACAACTTGACAAGTTTGGCGGGTGATGTAAATATTTGGAATGAGCTTTAATATGTCTAGTGAGGAAATCTACACAAACTGACTAAAACAAATGTGAAACTGACTGGAAATGGAGAGTGTTTCAGCTACAACACAGAAAACATTGATAAGTTAAGAAAGATAAGTTAAGTTAAGAACACTACCAAGAAAATATGTCATAACCTTAAGGACTTTATAAGAATATAAACTTATATTAACAAAGTATTATATTTCATTTTACTAGAATATTATATATATTTATTCTGTTACTGTTTTTGTAAGGCCTCTGGGCCATTTTTGTAGTACTGGTTAGAAGTCCGAAATAAATTAAAAAAAAAAAAACATTTTCTTAACAACAAATTATCCAACATATTCTGGAAGAGTTGGGATCTTTTTCAGCAAGAAAAAAACTAGAAAATTTGCTAATAGGGAAACGTGCTTCAATCACGTTTCCCTATTCAATGATGCGTTTCACAGATAGCTGTTGGGCACGACTACCAGGATCATTCGCCCATTGCCGACTTCCGTCGAGGATTCTCGGATCTTCTCCAGGAAGGAGACAGAATTTTGAAGTTCTAAATGTCGAGGATTTTCGTATCTTCTCTGGCGAAGAAGACTGATTTTTGAAGTTCCAAATGTCGAGGATTGTCAGATCTTCTCCAGCGAAGGAGACTAAACTTTAAAGTTCCAAATGTCGAGGATATTCGGATCTTCTCCAGCGAAGGAGACTAATCTCAGAAGTTCTAAATGTCGAGAGTTTTCGGATCTTCTCCAGCGAAGGAGTTCTTCTTTTGAAATTCTAACTAATATACATGATGATTAAAACCAACCCGTAGACCATGAGCTAGCAAATCCAAAAGCGGTTATAAGCAGATACCACATGCATCAAGGAATCTAACCACAAGTCGTGCAACAGAATCCATACATCCAGGGTGAAAAAGTGCAGAAAAGGCATTAATAGGAGCGGGTAAGCTGGCATCAATGAGGGACTCATACAAAATTTGGGAGTTATTCCGATGCAGAGCACAATCAAACAAAATATGTTCAATATCTCCCACCCCTCCACAAGCACACTGGTTAGATATTTTGACGTTTATCTTGTAAAGATGTGCTGGGGAACTACAATGATTACTCCTCATTCTGCACACTGTTGTAATCTCCTTTCTAGACAGCTGCAGTTTGTGGAACCATGGAACTGTTGGAGGTGTCTTATAAACTGCACTATAAAGTCTGACCTTTGAACGGCCCCCCTCTCTCCACTTGATGGCCCAGATGTGCCACATCTTTGCTCTAATTATCGGGATAAATTCACTAAAAGGGGGCCTTAAATTCAGCGGGTCTAAAAGTCTAGCTTCTGAGGCTATTCTATCCACCGTTTCGTTATGTCTTATCCCCGAATGGCTTGGAATCCAGCATAACGATATTTTCCCCCCAAGTCTGCGCTTCAAAATATCAATCTTTGCTTTAATATCTAGTAGAATGTAGCTGTTGGAAGCTTCAACCGCACTGCATCCGAAGCTCTGCCGGGCACTTTTGGAATCGGAGACAATTACTACCTGTTTAATATTATAATCTAATATAAGATCTAGGGCGTAACTAATAGCTATCATTTCTGCAGAGCAAATACAAAACGCGCTATTCAACCCATGCCCGACCCTAACATTGAGAGACGGAATAAATACTCCAAAGCCAACTCTATCATCTGGTCCCTTAGAGGCATCGGTAAATATAAATGTCTCTTCCCCGGTCCACATTTTAGAACAAAATTCCCGAAACTCAGTTTCATTTAGACCCACCCCTTTCTCAATTTTGGAATCAACAAAATTAATTGGCGTAAGCTGAGGGGCCAGGTCCTTATTAAAACACGCTAGAACGTCTCCACTATCGATAATATTATGATATGTGGCGGTGTAGTCAAATGCCTCAACTAAGGGTAAATTCGCCTTGCTTCTAAAAAAGTAATGATTTTCTTGATAGGCAATATATAACCGTTGGGTAGCTAAGAAACTAGGATTATTTCTGATTCTAAGGGACTTGACTAAAAACTTAGAAGCCAACATTGATCTTGACAAAAACATTTCCTTCTTCTTCTTCCTCTTTTAGAAGGCGTATCGCCTGTTTAGTTCCGGTTTCTTCCTCGTCTAAGCAACATCTTTTGCGAGGTTGACTGCCAACTATCTCGCCAACGTTTAGGTGGTCGTCCAGTAGGTCTTCTGCCATGGGGTACGTTGTTGCGAATTATTATGGCCATTCTGTCGGGGCCCATTCTACTGACATGCTGGTTCCATTCTCTTCTTCTCTGCCTTATCCATCTGACAACGTCATTTTTCTCTTATGTCTACATTTCTCTGTCTGCCGCTCAATGTGTATCCAGGTCTTCATTTCAGTAGTTCGTAGAATTCTCTTTGTTACTGATGTTTCAGCTCCGGTTTCCGCACCATATGTCATCGCTGGTCGTACGCAGGTTTTGTATATTCTTGACTTACATTCTGCACTCAAATGTTTGTGTTTCCATATGGGATATTTAAGATGTCTTCTTCTTCCAGGAATCCAGAGCTTGTGATTTTGCATCCCAGGTGTTCGAGTGACATTATCTGATCAATAGTTTTGTTTTTTATTACCAATTTGCACCGTAGAGGCTCCTTTGCAATGGTCATGCATTTGGTCTTATTTGTGGAAATTTACATGTTAAGTTTTTCTGTCTGTCTGTTAAAAGCTTGTAGCATTCTTTGGAGGTCGTCCTCTGCAATAAGTACTGCGTCATCGGCATAGCATAATATGTTTACTTTATGTATTCCCATTCGATATCCTAATCCAGTATTCTTAACGGTTTTTATTAATTGGTCCATGATTGTATTGAATTAAGGAAAAGTTTGTTCTTATTTGGGTTGCTGTGTTTGTGTTTAAGTCCTTGATAAGTTCTGTGAGTTCTTTCGAAACATTACTGCTATCAAAGGCCTTTGTTAAATCTATAAAGCATAGATAGGCTGGAGAGTTGTATTGTAAAGATTTTTCAGCCAGTTGCCTGAGTATGAATAATGCATCGGTAGTGGAGCGGTTTCTTCTTGAGGAGATTTTATCCGCAATGATCTTAGTCAAAAGTTTTAGCGAGGTGCTCAGTAATGTTATCCCTCGATAGTTTGCTGGGTCTGTTTTATCTCCCTTTTTAAAAATGGGTATTGTTATACTTTTTTTCTGTTCTGGTATCTCAACATCTTTCAAATACGTCATATCCGCCTCCATTTCGTTACTGAATCGCTGCCAATATTCTTCTTTAATTTCTCGTACTCTGTCATTAGTCCTGTTCCTTATTTCGGTGTAGATATTTCGGTTCTCCGGTGTTGGAGATTTCTTGTATTGTAAGTATTTTTCCTTCTTTTCCATTGTAATGTTCTTGACTTCTAATGTAAACCAGGGTTTAATGTTCGGTCTCCTATTGTGTGAAACAGTGCGTGTTCCTGGCAAACATTTGCAAATGTTTTCTTCCAGTTTGTTCCAAGCTGTGTTAGGAGCATCGAACTGTACTATGGGGTTAAGAGTGACATGTATTTTAAAACTGAATATTAATGAATGACGTGTATGCACAAGATAACATAGATAAAAGCACTCAAATATTTTCACAGATTTTGAAAAGCATCGCGAGATCTAGTACCCAACAAAAAAAGATGAGAATATCAGAAATACAGAGAAAAGGGTGGATAATGCATGTATTAATAAAATCAACATTAAGGAAGAACTTACAAAATAATGCTGAATAATCGCCAAAACACATTATTAATGGCTGGATGTAATCCATATCGAAATATATTAACCGATTTGTTAAAACAAGATAAAAAACTAAATAGAAGCATTAATTGTACAAACAAAGTATGGAATTGCTATAAATATGGTACAAACAACAATCATAAATTAAATATGAGTACTGTAGAATAAATAAAATTTGATAGTATTACAATTGATGAAAATAAAGAAATGTTAAACTATTTTAATTATTACTATTGTAATATCGGTGAAAACTTGGCTGAAAACAAGATAAGATAATCTTACAAATACAACTAAGGCACTAAAAGCAATAAACTCACTAACACCAAGAAAAATTCCAATCAATTAAAAAGTATATGATTCATTAGACAAAAATGTCCCATCCACCGACGACTTCGTTGATCTTGCAAAAGCATTTGATAGCTCGCACTCATTGCTGATCAAAAAATTTAAAAATATTGGTTTTCAGGAACAGATTTAGAATGACTAAAAAGCTATATTTCTCATAGAAGAGTCGGTGGAAATAAATGGTGTTCAAATACAAGGAAATTTTATAGAATACATAAAATAGTTTTCAATGACAAACAACATAAACTTCACGAAAACTATTTTTGTGCGTTTTAGTTGCTATAGCAATAAATAATTAGTTCCTATGGCATCATATCATGCCCTTATATTTCGGGTTAACTCCAGATCTTGTAATATATTTAAGAATCTTGGAGTAATTATTGTTAGCCATTTGAGATGGGACCACCACTCCGAATAGATCACAAATAAAGTTCGATCACTTACATCCATTTTCAGATTTTTTACAAAAATTTTGGAGAAACAAATGTTTAGAGGGAATTAACATTTCATACAAATGGATTTTAAATTTTAAAAGTATAATAGATTTGAATGACAACTAATAATTTCAACTGTATTAGCCTGATCCATTTACTCATTATTTGCTAATGATTCCTTTCTAGTTTTCTTTTTTGGTTTTAAAAAATGTCTTCAAGGCAAGAATTTGGTATAGTTTTAAGTGCGTGTAAGTGGTCTTTTTCGCACCTGTGAGGTTAATCTTGTGCAATGAAAGCTGCATTTATTGTCTTCGTGGGATATATTGGAATGGAAGTATTGAAATCATATATAATAATAATCTATATCAGAAGGTTTTTTCTCGAGCTTATCAGCGAGAAACCGGCGTTCCCGAACCGCTATGAAAAGCAAATTTCTATTTTTATTGATGCCAGCTCCGTTAACGTTCCTAGTCTGGCGACTTTGGTGGAATTTCGATAACAGTTCGTTTATCAATAAGTATCGCGAGCGCTTAAAGAGCTCCTAACTTTGCGCCTCAAAGAGACGATTTCAATGGCTCGACCCACGGGTTTTCGTAATTTCCAGTTTCGCGCGAAGAGGCGGGACGCGGGCTTATCGAAAAGTTTTTCACGTGACTTTCAGTTTTTCAGGGAAAAACACAATCCCCTCCGGTCCAAAGAATTGCAGGTAAAACAACCACCGCTAACAAATTAAGGATGTCGATTCGGATAAGGCTTTGACATTGCTATTGGAAGGTTGTGGTGAAGTGTATTTTTTGATATCTTTAATATGGAAATAATTAGAGAGAAGAGCAGAGGACTCGGGCTGAGATAGTTGTAGGGCTCTGTAAACAATGGATGATTTTTGTGCCGGATGGTGATGTGACCATCCCTTAAGGTACCGGTCTGTGTACGTAGGTTTTCTGTAAACACAATTGCCCAATGTTAGGTCTGATTTTCTATTGATAAGAATATCTAAGAATGGAAGGTTATTATTCGTTTATAATTCAATCTTAAAACGTATGTTGGGTGTATAGAATTTAAACGTCTAAGAGAATCTACTAGAGTTTCTTGACCATGAGGCCAAATAACAAAAGTGTCAAGAGATTTCTTCTTAAAGGCTTCCATAAATATAGTCGCTATTACTGTACAGGTACAGAGTAAAATAAGAAACAGTTTCAGTCAAACTCTGAAGAAGCCAACAGGATGATTGGCGAAACGTCAGCAATTTCGACTCAGCAAAAACCGACGCAGGAGGAATCCAGAAGCTTTGTAAAAAGTATCCCGCATCTAGTTTTGTAGCGAACAAGGTTTATAAATTTTATTGTTCAGTTAGTTGCTTCACTATCGTCGTCGTTAGACCATAGTATTCTGTTTTATCCGAACGCCCACTAAGTCATTAAATATGGTTTTGCACTTGTAGTTTGTGGTGTGGTGGAATTAAACAAGTTTTTATTGTTTAAATGTAGTGACTGATTCTAATTTTTAGACTGTATAAGTTGTTAGAGATTTCATAAAGGCCTTTGTTAAATTCACCTGAGTTTTCCTTACACAAACCAAAAATGAAATAATATTTCCAAAAATACTTTTATGACACCCTGTATAGCATGGACATATTAAGAATGTAGTGGGTCCCTATTCTATTATCTCATTTGGTTTCCCGTCTCCTTGAATAAAATTTAAAACGAAATAAATAAAAGCCAACTAACCAACCTAATTATAAACATTTCCGCGGTCGTGTCCATTTTTTTTCCGGGTGGGAAAAAATTTTAACACACCATCTAATGAGTATTCGCCTCTCGTAAAAGCCGTTGATAAAATATTATGCAACAAGCTGAGGGAATTTCTTCGGCGATAGAAACGCTAAGAAATGATTAGACCTTAAGTGTTCCCTTTAACTCACCATCCATATAAACAAGATCAGTTTGACGGCACGCGAGAGCTTCGACATCGTGTGAGACAGGAAGGGGTGACAGATAGCGAGATACCGTTCGACCGTGAAGCCCGTGATGGTGAGGACGGTGGCGTTTCCCGACGTCTCGGCCAGTAGTCCCCTCAGGAAGCAAAACGTGTTGCCGAATATGTAGGGATATCTGGAACGAGAAGATCAGCGAGATTGTTGTATTGTCTCGGACAATCATCATTTATGGATAATTATCATAGATTACACAAAGAAAGTCCTACAAAATTGATCATAATTGTAAAATAAATAACGATGGGGTAGTCCATGTCCCGGTAGGGTTTTGGTTAGAATAAAAATTAATTTTTATTATACATTATACACGACGTACGCCAATGTAAAAATCACCCCCAATAAACAGCAAAAAAATAAATACCCAATTTCCTTTTGATAATAAAAATACATTATCCTAATTACAAATTACATTCAACGACTTTACTAATACCGATATCGATAATGGGTTTATTTGCAAACAATGCAGCGTTTATCAGTACAAAGAAACCATATTAGCATGACAACAATGCAGCCACACAAACTGGTGGACTGACCTTCATCTACTGTATTGAAGACGTCCATGTACTCCAGATTCTGCAATCGAGGCTGAAGCAAGTTTGAGGAACCTCATCGCCCGTCGATCTCCGATTATTTCAAAAAGTAGCAAGTGAATTTTAAAGTAATATTATCTATATATTGACACATTACAATACATATTTATGTAAATGAAATAATATGTACATATAGGAACATTTACTTAAATGTATTCTCAGTAACTTGTAATTTAAATTCGTAATAAATAAGTAACGCAAAATGCGACATTTTACTCTGTCTCTGTCATTTCTGAATCAATTTGGTTAAATTATATATTTATCTCTCTTGTTTCTTTTTTATGACTTTTCTTTTATAATGATATAAACAAATACTTAACTATCGTTTTTATTTTTTATTTTAAAAACTATTATAAACCATTATAAAACCCAGTTTTTCCATTTTTTTTATTCAGAAAGGGTTGATAGTATAATATGCAACACGTTCGGTAAACTTTTTAACTCACTCGCGAGTCAAACGCCCTTTACTGCACTTGTTGCATAATATACTATTGTTGGGTGCTGTCAAACAGTTGTATTATTAATTATCTTCTATAAAATTACATTTTAAAAATAGCGATAAACTAATTAACCTATTCATAAACTCCGAAATGAGAACTTTATACAAATAGACAAGGCGAAAGTTTTGATATACAAAGTTGTTCGGAAAGTAATTTCGTTTTTTCCTGTCAGAGGACTTGATTACGTTTTTTCGAAACCAACTTCACACTTAAGCCGCATAACCATTATATGTCTTGAGAGCTGATATTGCAAGGCTTGTGTGTGAAAAAGTTCTATTAATTCTACGCAGTAGATTTTGGTTGGTGCCCTTTTAAATATGGAGAGCAATAAGCAGCATTTTCGTCATATTTTACTTTTTTACTTCAGAAAAGGTAAAAATGCTGTTCAAGCGAGAAAAAAAATTGACGGATGTGTATGGAGAAGGCGTGTTAACAGTACGCCAGTGCCAGAACTGGCGAATAACCACACGAGAGATAGGTGAGAGATTAAATTTGTCGAATTCGACTGTTTATGGCCATTTGAAAGGCATGGGCTTAACCTCGAAGCTCGGTGTGGGTGCCCCATGTCCTTACGGAGCGAAATTTGTGTCGTCGGGTTGACGTGTGTGATTCGCTCCTCAAACGTCAAGAAAATGATCCATTTTTGAAGCGGATTATTACTGGGGACGAAAAATGGGTTGTACACAACAATGTTAAACGCAAGAGGTCATGGAGCAGAAAAGATGAACCGGCTCAAAGCGTGTCAAAATCCAACATTCACCAAAAAAAGGTGATGCTCTCCGTTTGGTGGGATGTCAAAGGAATCGTTTTTTTTGAGCTTTTGCCGGACAATACAACGATTAATTCAGAAGTCTATTGTCATCAACTGGACAAATTGAATGATTCACTTAAAGAGAAGAGGCCCGAATTAATCAACAGGAAGGGTGTAGTGTTCCACCAGGATAATACGAGACCTCACCCAAGTTTGGTCACTCGCCAAAAATGAATGGGACGTACTGCAACATCCACCATATTCTCCAGATCTGGCGCCTTCCGACTACTATTTGTTCCGGTCCCTGCAAAATTTTTTGGATGGCAAAACCTTTACCTCAAATGAAGATGTCAAAAACCACCTGAACCAGTTTTTTGCCAGCAGGGACCAAAACTTTTATGAGAGGGGAATTATGTTACTGCCAGAAAGATGGCAAAAGGTGTTAGACTAGAATGGCCAATATAAAATTTAATAAAATATTTATTCATTATACGAAAACTGTCTTTCATGTTCCCCAAAAAAAACGAAATGACTTTCCGAACAACCCAATAATATAAATTCTACGCATCATTTAGTCCCAATCATCCCTTGATTGATCCGTTGATTTTGAAAGACCCTGAAGCATGTTTCAAGCATTGCGTCGATTTTTCAAACAATTATTTATTAATACAATGGAAAATATGTTATATTTTCTTACCGATAAACACAGAAATTTGAAATTTAAATAGGCAGTCGCCTCGCCCTCCGTGTTGTTTGCCGTTACAGTCTCGTTAAGTGTCAACGTATTGGAAATTTGGCTGGTCCAATTTAGGAAATTTATGGATGCAAATCGAAGGTCGCAAACGACCGACAAAGTTAGTTTGGGATTGGAATTGAAATCTGCTGCAAATTGCAGGGGACCAAATAAATACGTGTTGATATATGAAAAATACTGTATTAACCTTGTTTTTGAAGCAAAATTTATGAAATCTAGTACACATGCTTCTTAAGGACTTCTCCACCGAACGTCCCAAGCAGATTTAATCCCCATCCCCACCCCTCTGTAGGGACGTGAAAATACTGCGCCCTAATTACGAAAACTTTTTTACGATTTCAATGATATTCAGTACATAATGTTGATTGTTCCTTAAAATGTCGTAATTCACAAGTGCTAATTAAGAGGAGATTAATATATATATATATATATATATATATATATATATATATATATATATATATATATATATATATATATATATATATATATATATATATATATATATATAGTAAAAATGTTTAAAAAAAACGGTACTGATATATTCCCAAATTTTACTTGCTTGGTATAGCATTCAGTAAAAGTGTTTAAATAGACTATACCATTGAACAATATGCGCCTACTAAAAAAAAACTAATAAAGCTGCCTTTATTGAATTTAATTAACATGCTTAGTTTGTTAAATGTGTTTGTTGCATAATATACTATTTCAGTTGGCAACACTTAAGACGCCTAAAAATAAAGAGAACAAAATGTGATTAGGATTCATTTCGGACGAGACAAGACGAGGGGCTTTTTGCCGTTCAGTTAATATTTTCAAATTTTTATCTATCGAAAAATGAATGTCCCGGGACCCTCGCCATTACATTTAGGGCATCATCCGTGTAAAGCGAACTCTTAACTTTTATTTCATCTGGCTTTCAGATGGAGCGTCGCCGGTAATCTGCGGGCATTAAAACAGCTGGTCCGCGTTTGTCCGTTTTGTTGAGAATTCATTCAAATATAAGTTTGCATGTCTACAGTTATTTTCCTACATAGTTATATGATTTTTTGTCATGTTCTGTTTATACACTATGTGATGTTATATACAATTTATGTGTTGACGTTTACTTTCGTTTGCTTGTCAAGCACTCATTGAATCATCTTTGTATCAATCTAAACTTGGGTGCATAGAAATAGAAAATCAAGAAATCGTCCAAAAAATAAACATGCTATTTGGAAGACAATTTAATATGCTTTGGTATGAGTTTGAATTTGTTAAAAAATTTCATATGCGTAGCTAGGGTTAAATAAATGAAACGTATTTATGCAGTAGTTACAGTGATAGTAACAAACTTTGGATAGAGTTTAATTGCGTTAGTTTGATGCATACTACACCTAATTATATCGAGGATCTTTTATCAGATTACATGGCAACACATGTGACTGTATTGGAGAAGAATTTATTTTTATACGTGACAATGGTAGGCCGCACACCGTCAGGATTGTGCAAGATTCGAGTTATGGAGTGGCCAGCATGCAGTTGCGACCTCAATCCGACCAAACGTTTATGGGATGAACTAAAACGGAGAATTCGAACTAGACGTCGTTCCCCAGCCTCGATTCCGGAGCTTATTGTTGCAGTAGAGGACAGTGGATTAACATTCCACAAGAAGCAATAGCGAAATTGATTAGATCTATGCCTAATCGAGATATGTGGCAAGAGAGGGGTCATACCTATTATTAAAAAATAGTAATAAAAAAAAATGACTCTTGCAGTTATTTTTTATTGATATTTTTTTATAATCTTAATCAATTTAAACTCGTATCAAACCATGTTGAATTGTCTTTCAAACAGCATATTTCCTTTGATCTGATCAGCAGAGCACTTGTATGGTAATATAAAAAAAATATGGATAAAATAAATTGACCAAATTTGAGTTCATTCATTCATTCATTACGCTGTGAAATATAGGATTTTTCAAAAAGAGCGAGAGGATGTTGAAATGAAACAAACTGTGTGAAGTATTATATGTGTGTATGAGCCGATGCAGCATGCAGACTGGAGTAGAAGCTATGGAGATTAATAAAATGAGAGGTTCGAATGTATTACCTAATGACCAACCGGATTTGAATGCATCCCCCATGTTAAATCTCAATTTAATACCTCACATTAAGTAATTACTACCTGTTTTGTATTTATAATCATCGGTACCGTTTGATATTCGCATTTGATAAAGGTACGGTGTTGCCGAAACAGCTGTCATTTAAATATATTTACGTGAAAATCTGAACAACGTTTGTTCTTATTTAACTATTTTAAATGGATTTTCATCAAGTAATAGCCACTTCAGTACAATTTTGCAAAGTATCTTGCAATTGAAACTGGTGCAGTTGCAATTTTCGAAAATATTGGAGATTGTATTACATAAATGTATCTTTGCTCAAATATACTCTCTACGCAATAACATGGTTTTTATGCGAGAAGATCATGTACCACCAACAACTTATGTTCCCTATCTTTTTATGTCTGTGACTCCCTGGA